TAAAACAGAAAAGAAAGTTGAATCATACAACTCCAGACTATTTATCGGTCGGCCGAGAGAAATTTACAACATTTGCAAGCGTACAAGTGTGAGCACTCGTATATCTGTCCAAAAATACACACACACGCACGCACACACACACACACACACACACACACACACACACACACACACAAATATGCACACACGCGCGCACACACACACACACACAAACATACACATGTCTCTGAATAGCCAATAATTTGAAGTTATTTTTACAAGTAAAAGAACTGGTTGATTCATATTTTCTTTTACTGAATTTACTTTATCAAATGATTTTGTATTTGGCCAATGATAACAAATTTATATAACGGATAATCGAAAGAATCTCTTACCTTCATGTAAAGAATTATATATATTTTCTCTTGCCCATCAATAAAGTTACAATCCTGAATATTACAGACTATTGTACTGGACTCATACTGAACAAAAAATAGTCTCAGTGAGACATTTTTACTGTTCTTTGATTGGAGGTAGCCCTTTTTAAGTAAGTTTTATTGTATGTAATATTGATTGGAAAACACTTAGAGCTTCCTCTTGAGCGGGCATTTGCACAAAACAAATGTTAAGCCATCGCACTCGGTGACATATGAGCGCCTGTATACGTGATTGACTATGTATATCTATGAATATGTATTCCTTTGTACAGAATAATCAGAATTTAAGTGTGCAAGCTGAAAATGGAAGGATAATTCACTTTGGAATAAAAGTGGTTTTGATTTTACAGCCACATAAAATAAACAAAGAAAATGTTTCATAAATAGGCCAGACTGCCTCTGTGCTATAACGATTTTTGAATGCGGGAGGCCAGGCATTGAGCTTAAATATGGATACTTTAAGAAGTTATTGTCCTAGTATGTGACAGGAGACGGACTCGATAGAAAGGCCTCGCTCGTCATGAAGATGGAAAAACCTTCATCAAGCTATCTGTCAAGCTTCAAAGAGGCTCAGATCAAGGCCAGAAGATAGACAGAGGTGAACACACGGCAAGCCTTTGCTGCGATTCCTTTTAACAATCCTATTTTTTTTACAATTGAAGCCGGTTCAGGGATTAAGCATCTCTGCAGTTTCCCAAGACATATTAAATTGAAGCCGTGCTTGAGATTATGAAAAACAAAAGTAACGTTTGTGATTCAGAGGGTAACATTTTCTCTTTCACATCATTAAAATAAAAACAGTGTGATTGCAAACAATCACGAGAATAAGAAATTCAGAATTGTTAGATTTCAAATAACTCACATTTGAACATTCGCAGCTTTCAAACTATGACATAAGAAATATTTCATGAAAAGTATTAAAATCGAAGTAAGATTTTTTTCTTTAAAATAGCATGTTTGGTTTAATTGAAATAAATACAATTTGACAAACTTCACTATCCATTATCAGTTATACAGGTTATAAAACAAAAAGACAGTATAAGATTAACCATTTCGATAATAATCCTCACTTCAAGCTCAAATAGTACATGTGATATTAACAGCATGAAATATGTTCAGGGCCAGGGTATTGGGTAAAGGAGATTGATATTAAAGGTAGACCTCTTCATTCCAGGCTTTCTCATATGATATAACGTGGATTTAGAGAACAACCACTTTCATCCAATTTATAACTCAATGTCTTTACTAGATAAGTTTCTAGATAATTAGATACTGGTACGAAGCATTTTTAATAATTGTTGTTTTTTTAACCAAATTGAAGAAAACGCAGTCTTTGCATAATTAGTGCACTCGTCTTCGAAGCGGAAAGTATGGATTCGAGCCTCGGTTCGGACACTATTTTTTTTTCCGCCCCCTCATCCTGCCCACCCAGCAGTAATGGTACCTGACTTCCAGTTGGGGAAGTAAAGGCGCAGTGGAAAGGAACTGGCCACCCTACCACAATATGCCAAAGGCCCAGGAAGTTGTCTCACTAACAATTTAAGGCGTCGGAATCCCCAATGTCTAGATCAAATGAGGGAACAATTTTACTTTTTTAACATAATTACACTTTAATATGGACACTATATACAGTCTACTACATGAAAGATTGTTGTCCCTTCCCTTTGTCTATATAGATCCAAAACTGATAGCTCTTCCGAAGGTTTCCATGAGAACCTGAACACCCCTCTCCCCAATTTGTGAACCCTTTATTTAAATTTAGGAAACAAAGTCAAATCTTGAGCAACTACAAATGTAACTGGAACATGAATGTGTGGGCACTAAGTTTGTCTCCTTTCTCCTTACTAAAAAGATGTTAACAAAAATAAATAGAGAAAACCAGACACATAAAAGCAACACATATACATAGACTCTGCAAATTTAGATCTAGATCTAGTCCATCGCAATATGATATGATATTGTATTGAGTAGGTAGCCGTGAAAGGTAAAGACAGTATAAAAATAATAATGTATCCATTCAACCCTTATCAAACAACGAACAGGATTAGCAATACAATTTCGGCACCTAACTTCCTAAGCCCGCATACTATTTTTTTTATTAATTTAGATCTTGCTTTTTATTTGTGTTTTAGCCAGAAGAATCAACAGGTAAAGCGCCAAAGGTACCTGCATTATTGGCTTATATGAGAGAATGACAACCATTTCAGGGTAATGGAAACATTACAGACAAAACGATCAATCAAACCACGCAGCCTAGCTACAAAGAACAGACCTGCTAGAAGTCAAAACATTTCATTAGAAGGAGGCTAATCGCACCATGCCCCTTTGTTGCCACTCTCCTACCAGTGAATTTTATCGCCCAAACAAACAACAATAACCAACAACTTACACATGCCAGAGAACTTACTGTGTCCTATGGGGGTACTTCAGCACGTTTCGAGGATAAACCCGTCACTTTTAGCCCATCATCATGTCATATACAATCGTTATCAATCCTCAACCTCGCCTGTAACCGTATGGTAGCAGTGGGAAACCTCTTCACTGTCACGTGATACAAACGTCGCTATGCTACACGGCGGTGGCCTCGTTCTTGTGTTGACTGTGCAAACAAATGAGTGCGCGGGTACATTTCTACAAAAAAAGACGCAGGAAATGACAGCCCAACCCCACCGTTTGCCGATATTTTATTAAAGCTGCCTATTATTGGGCTCAAATAACATTAACAGTCCTTTTACCAAAGTGGAATTGACTTATTGGTTTTTCGATAATCTAACCCGGAGAACTTGAGCGCTTAGTTTACCCTGAGCAAATATGGAGAAAGAAAGCGGTTGTTGACTGAGGTGTGGGCCAGGAGTTCAGCACCAAAACGGCTGCATTTTGTTCGACAAGCATTAGCCTAGGGAATTAACACATTAGGGCCTAAAACAGAAAAGAAAGTTGAATCATACAACTCCAGACTATTTATCGGTCGGCCGGCTTCGACCTAACAAACACATTGCCTGCTTAGTGTATGTTATAAACGTAAAGGCTAAAGGGAGGGAAACAGCACGTTTATAATATTCACAATATACAAGGTTTTCCATTGTTTATATGTTATACATTTATGTACCCCCCCCCCCCTCCTGATTTTCTTTTTAAACTTGAAAGAGATATCACCCTGGCTGGTCGTTTCTTCTGTGATGTCCGTAAGCCTCGATCTATGCTTACTAGGCTTCTTAATTGTTTTCTGTTTATAAAATGCAAGATCTGATCCCATTTTTCTGAAATGGGGGTAAAAATGAGGCTGAACTGTTTAGCCTACTACTACTCATCCTCTCTAACAAATGGAGCACTAGATGAAGCAACAAAGTAGGCCTGGCACTCGATGACTTATTTAGTTGAAATATTATGTTCGACGAGGCAGGTCATCTGCACATGTATTAGGATATGTACTTCTAGTGTGTTTCTTTAGTCTGAACGCTATTTCACGACGTGGTGGAATCATGCAGGCGCTCGTCAATTTTTGGACATGTGGAGTCATTGTTGGTATCATCATAAAGTTTGTTCATTTGTCTGTCTATGGCTGGGAAAAAAACCCGTCGATTTATCTTTTTTGAAAATTTGCGATTGAAGGAGATGGCGGTCAGCTAGTTTCAGATGTAAAATTAACGAGGTAACTTCTACCAAAGTTTGATGAATTCGTTTGTAACGGCAAATTAACATTTTTTGTTTGTTTGTTTGTTTTGTGTGTTGTTGTTTTTTTGTGCCTTTGCTCAACCCTTTCCCAGTAAAAATCCACATAGAAATGTTGAGACTTTTTTTTAAAAAGAAAAAAAAAATAGCCGAACAAAATCTATAAAAATTGCCCAAAGGGATGAACATTAATTTCGGTTTCTTCGAATTCATTATTTTGACGAGCGCCTGTTTCAACTGTAGGCCTATGATGCCTCCCATTTATTTTGTGCCGTTGAATTTCACCAGGACGCAAAGCAGACCCAATAAACAGCAGATGGTGATGCGTGGTCAATGATTAATTAACTCTTGGATGGCACGTCTGTTAACTATAAATGCTGCATAGTGGGGTCGAAAACATGTAGCGCAATACTTATTGTCAAATAATTTCTAAATATTGAAGACTCTTCAGCTTTTGCACAATGCCTTGTATCAATTTGTCTTAACTGATAAATATTTGTGTAAATATTTCTGCTAGCTGTATTCAAGAAAATTCCTTAATAAATACTAACTAAAAATCCAAATGGGTGGTTTCTATAGATTTTAAAAGGTTTGCCGCTGGGACAATATCGCTTTTCTAATCGCGATTTAGGTTTATTGAACGCATATTTTGAGAACTTTTACTTTTAGTGAAAAAAACATGTTCACTATAATATTATTTTCTTGTAACCAGTTTTGCCGCTGAACGTGTCATTGGTGAGCTGTGACGTAGGCCATATGCGTATGCAAAATGTGTGTGTAGGAAGCGGGAAGTGCTGTCGTGGACAATCCCATTTTCCGCGTGACGGAGATTTATAGCATTTTATATTTAATAAGAAAAGTTTTGTTATAATCTAGCCTCAATTCTTGAGGAAATAATTTATGATTAAGTTAAGACAAACTGATGCAAACTACTGAGCAAAGTATGGGTGACATATATTGATTTACAATATATTTGAGGATAATTTGCGCCACGAATTTTTGAACGCACTATAGTATTTAATTGTTCACTGGTTTACCTCATTAGAATCTGAAATGTCCGCTTGCCTGCTGTACTATAACTGTATAATATCCCCATGTGTCCAATCTTCATCGATTTCTTAAATTTTGGTATGCGTCATGCTTGCAGCTTGAAACCTTTCTTGTGCTGAAAATTGAAAATGCTAACATTTATCATATTTATATTCCAACACAAACACAAAACTTGCTGCAGCAAAGCAGGCAAACGCCTATATAATCTAGGCCTCCAGAGATTTATAGGAACTGAACTGATACATCTCAAGGTGGTGACCACATTTGGGGAGTTCACTATTGGATTGTTGTTTGTACAAGCTGAATTCTTGAGTAGGCCTGGTACCGGCGATATATTTGTTTAACGTTTCTTTAGGTGTTTCTTTTTTTTGTGTGTGCATGACCACCCATGTCAGCTTGCGATCTTTTTAGTTCAAGTAACCGTTTTCATTAAATTGAACATTTTTAGGGACAATACTTAAAAAACAACAACCCAAAAACTGTAGCCAAGGCATACTGTAGACCCAATGTGTTATTATTATGTTGCATTATATAGGCCTAATAGTAATCTTATAACCCTTAAAGTATACAACATCAGAATACGATTGGGTTACAATCAGAATACTGACTGAGTGTGCCTATAAATGTTTACAATTATTGTTTATTTATATAACGCATGGGACTGCATGTGAATCGTGAGCCTGTTTGTGAGTGCAAGTATACTATATATAATATATGGTTATGTGCACAGAGGAGAAGATGTGTGAGAGTGTGTGTATATTCTATGTATTATGGGTGTGCACACGCGCGAAAGTATGCATGTGTGTGTGGGGGGGGGGGGGGGGGGGGAGTACGTGTGTGTGTGTGGGTGTGTATACGTGGAGAAACACCAGATCAGTGTGCCAGGATATGGACAATAAAGAAGTATCTTTATTTAATTAACTGAGCAGGAGTAGTCTTGCGTATTCGTTTACTGTCAGTTGGAACTGTACTACTTCTAGAGTTTTCCTGGCACCATAGGCCTTGGTCTGGTATCCTAGAGCTATTGACTCTTCGTGCTGTCCCCGTCGTTTTAGGCCAAAAAAATTCTGAAATTATGCAAACTGATCCCAAAAATGTGAAATTATGCGATTCTGTTAATTTTAACAAAGAATGATGAAGGAAAATAATCAGAAATTATGAAAAAAATTATCAAATTTTGCTAAATTATGCGGGCACATAAAACTACGGGGACAGCTTCGTGTGATTATCTGTTGGACTTTTGAGTTTATGGTCTTGTTTCGAATCACAACAAAGCGTACTGAACTTGGCTTGTTTTGGGGGATATTTTAAGGCCGTTTGGCCCCGTCCTATCAGAGATGGACGCTAATTTCAGGAAATAACATCAATCAAATAACCTAACAATGCTGAAAATGGCATTAAACCTGTACAATGACGAATACAATGATAGCATTAGGTTCCCAGAGAGGACAAACAGATTTAGAATTCATGCGTGTCAATTCTCCAATCTTCTACATTTGTCCCCCAAAAGTGTGTCACCAAACAGGTCATTAAAAAAAAAAATGTAGGTTTTGTAATGTATTATGTTGCAAGTGCTGAAAAACTTACTAAAACTAAACTAAATTAGAACCAGTTTTGAACATGTTCACAGAAATCTGATACCCTGAAAAAGACGGGAAAGGAAGAAAAATAAATCAAGCTGAACACACATGTAGCATTGAAAAATATGCTTTATTTATTTATTGAGTATAAGCACCAGTGAAATTTCCCACTGAAAGACAACATGAGACTACGACTAGTAGGCTATGGAGTTCAAAGTTCTTAGTTATAATAAAATAATACTTTGATGTTTTTCATGGTGGAATCTATTATAAAATTTGTGTTATTGCTTATTTTTGTGCAACATTCCCATCACAGAACTGTTTGTCAAAATGGCAGAACAAACGAGTCTGTGAGATATTTTATTGCTTAAGAAAATTAAGTAAGTACAACAAACATCCCTTGATGCCCTTATTTTGCTAAACTTCAAATGACTAATGTTTTAGTTCATTTAAGTTGAAGGAGTAAACAATTTACCAATGCTATTTTTCCCAAAGCTTCTTCTACTCTAAATCTACTTACTAGAGAAATTAAAAAATACTAATGTTCTGAAATGTATTTAATTCCAAAAATTAGTGATTTCTCAAAGTATATCGTTATGTTGGTCCAAGACGACAGGCATCAACAAGTAACAAAAAATCTGGACAAAAAAAAAAGATTACAAGAAGAGACTTTTAACTGCTATAATAATATGAGACTTTCCACATTGCCAAGATTAGCAAATCACAGATTGTTATTGCTATTTTTAACTTAACGAAAGAGGTGCTGATGAGAAAACCAAAAAATATCAGCTTTTTCATCGAGACCACATCTTTACCCAAAAAAAAATAAAAAATGACCCTATAAGTAAAATTGATAGTCTTTCAGTTTTAAAATTTGCTGATATCAATTTAGTACATAACAGATATAAACTGTATTATAAAAAGTGTACATAAATATAGCTAAATGTACAAATGTCAAAATGAAAAGTGTAAACAATAACTAAATTATAAACAGTAATTGCGTAGATGATGGATACAACAAACAAAGCACAATTTCAGATTCAGTCAAGGCAATAGATTATAATGTGATACTTGAGCATTAAGTTTTGTTAAATTAGATTTCTTCTTTTGTAAAATATGCTCAGGTTCAACAAATTTTTTCATATTTTTGAAAACAGAATCAAAACTTTAGGACGAAAGAGCTGAAGAAAATGAAGAATATCATGGTTATTCCACATTTGATAGAAAATTATATTTTGTGTCAAAATAGTGATTTCTACAGTCCGGAATAGGTAAGAACAAGTAACCCTGTTATTATAAACAGATATTCTTGTGCACCAGGTTATTTTGCTCAAAAGTGTTCTTTAAGGCATAGAGTAACAGAAAGTGATGACGAACAACACTGAACACAACCATTGTGATGCAAGGCTCTAATGAATTGGCAACAATGTGTATTTATAAGGCAAAGCAGGTGTAAAAAAAGAAAAATGTCAGACTGTCAATCTTTAACGAAAAAAAAGGTGGTAGAGAAATGCAAGGCCAGAGTTGTCTATTGTGAGGCAACAAAAGCATACAATTAAGCGCTTCCTGCACTCATCAATTTCAAAATATTTTAGTCTCCTTTCAAAAATGCAAAGGAAGATCTAACAATATTGCTGATACAGACATAGGAAGCACTGTGTGACAGAGTGAGAACAATGTCCTGTAAAAAAAGACTGAGTCATCGCTTTCTTCAAAAATTTCCTTTACTTTACCGGTCAAGTGGCACAAAATTCATGTGCCGTAACAACGTGATCAGGTTCATTTGTGAGAAGTTCAAAATGACAATACAACAACAAGACTGGATGATGGTGAGGTTGCGTGGTTTGATGTCCAGTCAACAGTTGAATTAAGAACGAGTAAGATAAAACAAAAGAGCCCCGGTTGCTCTGAAGCACGGAGAATCCAGCTTAAGCAGCGATGGCAGACTCGAACTGGGGGCACTTCTGTCCCTGCTTGACAACAGTGATGGGTCGCCATGGCTGGCCAGACTCGCGCAGGTAATTCTGTGGGAGAAAAAAACCCGACATCTTCTACATCCTTTGATTGGTCAGGTAAGCTGAGTGTAAATTCTGCATTGTACAGCACTTGCAGCCTTTAACGGATGAGGTGCTATGCGAATATCCCCATTATTACTATTATTATTATTATTATTATTATTATTATTATCATATATGTTTTTTTCTTAACTTAAAAAAAAATAAAATTTTTAATTGTTATTATTACCATTATCATCTCCGCAAGTAAGAATAATCATTCTAGACAATGGGTAATGCTTTTGCACTTAGCATCGTCAGCCTTTACCCTCTCATACACAGTGCCACAGGAGGTCACTTCCATATTCTTCTGAAGTGAAGGCATTCACACTGATGTGTGTTAATCTGACTTTTGATAGAAGAAGATGAGTTTTACCTAATTGCCAGAAAGGTACTCTTTCTCATGTTAACTACTGCTACAAACATATATGCCCATCGCTTCATTGCTTTATTTCCAACTCGTGTATGTTGATATATGTACATTGACATTTTGGAAGTGATCTCACTGTTTCCTGATAGGTGTTCTGTGGTACGTTTCTGATCGCCACAAATCATTTCATTTGTTAACCACTGTATCCAGCCCAAATATTCATTTTTAGTTTTTGTAAGAGTTTATAAGAAATTCTTCCCTTTTTTTGTTTTTGTAAACATTTTTTGGTAAGGCACTTGCAACACTAATAGGCCATCTGAAGATTAAAAGTGTTACTATAGAGAGTAGCACACAAAGAAAAAAAGGAGGGGAGATAAGGACGATGGATGTTGGTTAGGAAAGAAGAAGAAAAATCCCACCAGAGCACATGTCAACCACCCATAGCCTAAATCTAACTGTCAATGGCAAGAACAGGTGGGAAACCATGTTTACAAAATAGAGGTGAGACCAATTACACTGAAACTGATGAATTTACATTCTCGAAATGGAAACAGAAAAAAACAAAAAAAACAAGACTATCTCCTTGCTGTATATATCAGCCTTATGAAAGGAAAATCTGCTGATTTTTATCAAAGTGACAAACCAAAGGAATGCAAACTCAGCCTCTTTATTAATGCACAGATATTTAATAATGAACTTAGCTATTCCCAGGGCTCTTTCCCTTCAACTTCAGTAAGATTCAAATAGTATTTTCACCCTTAAAAACAAACATGGATGATCCCGAAAGAGGTCAAATAACATTGTGCCTTATTAGAATTAAGTCTGAGGAAGCTTCCAAAAAGGCCATTGACTGCTATTATACTTGTACAATATTTTCTGTACAAACTGAAGTGATATCAGAGGAATTTCCAAACATGTTTGCCTTTTCCCTAGCTAGAGCTATGCACAACTATCAGTGCTGCTGTCGAGTTCGAGTAGTTAACTTAAACTTGATCATGTTCTCAACTGAGCACAAAACACAGCCAATGACTTCATTCATCATCTTTTCAGGTACCGGTATGAACACTGTCAACAAATAATCTGTTTAAAAATACACCGAAAAACGAGATCATTTTGTCAGAATAGTTTTTTTAAAAAAGAAAGAAAAAAAATAGTAAGTAATGCTGTCATGATCTCTGCACTGCTTTCAACAAAGATTTAATCATACTCACACACATAAACATGGATTTTTTAAAAATGAATTGTCAAAAAAACCACTAACTTACGTGAGCATAAGGAATTCCATTCTTCTTTTCAGCAGATGAGGCATTTTCTCCCACCCAGACAAACACAACATCACCGCTGTCTACGATGAACACATCCTGCAAACAAAGGGAGAAAAAAGCTACTCTAAATTGTTTGTAGTTTTGGTAAGAATTTTATGACACTTGCAACGCAATAAGGTCCTAGAAATGCCGAAGAATGGATTTGTCACAAGGAGGAGGAGAGATGAGGACAATAGATGATTTATAGGAAAGACGGAGCAAACCACACCAGAGCACCCGCCAACCACCCACTCTAACTGTTTGTAAGAGTAAAGAGAAGCACATCAACACAAGAATGGTCATTTAGTGAAGAAGAAAAAGTACGACAGACAGACAGACAGCAACAACAGAGGGGAAAGTAAAGAAGTACAACCTACCAGTGGCGCCCTCCAGCTACCCGCATTACTCCAAGGTAACCATTTAGTCAATTAACCCTTTTAAGGCATAGGTACCTGGATTAGGAACCTAGATTTCTACTGTATAATGTAACGTTGTTCTGCAGAAGACTCATGGAAATACAAACACAGTAATTCTGACCCTGAGAGTCAGTGCCTCAGTGATATTTTATTTGTTACAAAATCATCATGATGAAAAAGTAATACTGAAAGTTGTCATCAAACTGTTCAAATACTCAATAAAGTCCTCCACAGTCTTCTTCAACTTCAAGATTTTGATTCTACAGGACGCAAAGAATTGAAACTTTTCACTGTTGTTATTATTATTGTTGTTGCTGCTGCTGTTGTTGAGGTGATACAATACAACATTCATCATACTGAAAGGTCTTCTTTTTTTGCTTTTTTGGTAAGTGTTTTACAGTGCTCACAACTGCATAAGGTTATACTGAACACAAGGAAAACATTGAACATTTTCAGTTTGGTAGGAATTTTGAATTTTGCCCAGGTGGTGCCGAAGCCTACTCTTATCGATTTTAGGACCACCAAGGGAATTTTAATGTGCGCTACTTGCACACAGGACATCTGAGATTTTTTGCCCTTGTCCGAGAAAACTAGATGTTAGATGTTTCCCATCATAAGATCAGGGGTGTGGCTGAAAGACAGAGGTATGAAGGAGCCAAGGAGTAGCAGAGGAAAGGCAGCAGAAAGAGTCAGGAGCCTAGAGGAGAGGGCAAAGGAGATGGGGGGAGGGGGCAGAAAGTGGAGACGGAAAGGTCTTCTTCAGTGTTTTGAGTTCTCAAACCTTGAAAGTGTTCTCCCTGCAGTTTCCCATCAAACATAAAAGTAGTCTTGGCTCTTTGTACTTTCAGTATTATGGTAAAACAAGATGCTAAGAATTATAATTAGAAAAGTTAATTTTCTCAGGGAGAAATGAGTGTCCAGGTGGAATTGGATGTGTACCACCGGTTCTTAGACATGTAAATTACACAATTACTCGTATGTTACACAGTAACATTTTCCTCACTTCACCCAGGTGGGAATGGGTACCCGGCTATAGACAGCGAAAGATCTTGTCAGTTTGTTAGTGTTTGAGCGCTTAATCAGCTGCTTGCACTGAATGCTTCCCGGGAAGCTGAGAATGTTTCTGAGTGTTCTATGGTCTGCTGGGGTAATAATATAGTGTAAAGCGCATAGAGCCTGCTGTTGAGCGGGGATATGCACTATACAAATGCTATTTATTATTATTATTATTATTATTATTATTATAACAGGGAGCTGTTGGGCTTTTCGAGTTTCTATTCAGTGTGTTGTAAGATGATCATCACTATACAACTATACAATAAAAGACTGCTACATCGCATATTATTTAAATATACAGAGGATTCCGCTTACACTGAACATGTGTAATCCAAAAACAGCAGCAAACCAAAAGAAAATAGAATACCGATACCAAGTTTTTTTCTTCATTATTTGAGCAGCCTCTCTAAACTGAAGAAAATCCTACTGTTCTGCTGATTTCTGTTCAAGCAGGTTCCACTGTATACTATGTATTTGATATTTGATTAAAGTTGTTCCCGATATATATAAAAAAGGAAAACGGTGCTTTGTTTTGGTAGAGGTTTTACGGTGCTCGCAACTGCATAAGGTCATATGAGCGCCAGAAGATTAGAGGTGCTCCAAGAGAGAAACAAACATAAAAAAGAAGACAAACCACACCAGAGCATCCGCCAACCACCCACAAAATGCAGTACTTACATCAGCAGCAAGATCGTCCTTGGTAAGGTCTCCTTCCTTCACAACCTCAGAGTCTTTGGTTTCAGTGTTCACCCTGAAAAGTACATCATAGAACATTAATAAATCATTCAAGAGCGAATTCTAATTATATATATAAAAAATAAATTCTCTTTAGATGCTGATGAAGAACTGAATGTAAATCTCCTTTAACTTCAAGATTTTGATTCTAAGGTATGAAAATAATCGAAGACTTTTCGCAGTCGACACTGTTGTTACTGTTGCTGTTGTTGAAGTCGATGCTGCTGTTGACGTGTAGTGTGCAATGCATCAACAGGACAACAGCCACTTTTTCCAGAGAGGTTAGGAATATTGTCATTGTGAAAAAAAAGTCTTCGAAGAAGAAGTACAGTACATTAGACAGCACATCAACTGTTTAGAGGATATACTAAGATTTTCATTTCTTTGTCATGTACCAATAACTTACTGAATCAAAATTGACATTCTCATCATAATTTTAGACTCCTATCTTTTCTTTAAAAGACATGAACTTCCATTTATGTGGCTTTAACAAATCCACTAGAAACTATAAAAACTCTTTACTTTACAAGGCCTGTCTGCATAAATTCTCCTTCAAGGAATCAAAGTTGAGAAGGATGTGAAGCGTACAACACGGATAGGTCGAAAACAGAAGACTCGAAATCCCGCATCTTTCGAACTGTGCCTGTGGTCCTGTTGTTGTTTTTTTTCTTCTTTTTTATCTTTGTTAGAAAATCACGAGAAGCTCGAACACAAACATGGAATAGTGAAACTAATTACGTCCACCGTAGAGGTCTAAAGTCAATGTTCTTTGGGACGCACTTGAGACAAAATAATGATAATAATTTATTTATTTTTAATGGAAAAAGGCAAGGAGCAGCTAGCTGTGCTATTTTTAGCATGCTGCTCGACACACGTGATGACGCATGCCTCGGCTTGTGTGGAGCATCACATCATCTGTTGTTACAGTTTTGCCTTCAAAGTAGCAAACTTTGTTGCTTCCCTTGATTCTTTGACACAGCCGATGCCATAACATTGTTCACGTATCCCTCGAACTACCGAGGCCTGTCCCGACGAATTAGAGCTACCTGTGCTATACTGTACTTACTTGAGCAGCGTTTGACTCTCTGGGCCATCCTCGTCATCACTGAGAGAATCTCCCTCCTCCTCATCCAGTTTCTCCCAGAACTCGTGCTGAGAATCACAATGAAAGCTTATAATCAGGAATAATTTTAAATCAATGAGAGATATATATGTATATATATAGGAAATTTAGTCAGAACACAATGTATTGTTTTTGTTTTACTGTTGTATTGTAAAGCGTTCAGAAACTGTATTTCGGGCTTGAATGCACTATATAAACACTATATATTATTAACAGTACTAATATTATTTTGTGGAAATAATGAAAATGTACAAAGTTGCATTTGTAAACTAAAAGATAGTTGATAGACAACAAATACAAGGGTTAACCAAAAACAAAACAAATGCTAAGTATAATAACTGTTCGTTTCAGTGAAATTAAGAGAAACAACAAGAGAAACTGAAAAACAGCATCCCTGTATAATAAAATTCTACATATATGCATACAGTCAAAATAGTCCCAAACAGCCACCCATTGTCGAGAAGAGATATTGTCGTAGACACAAGGCCAGCTTAGACAGTGTCGTTATGATAGTACAAAACATAAGAGGGGAAATTTGAAGAGATCATCTTTACAGATGATTGTCTTGGGCAATGGGCCTTAATACCAGGTTTGACCGTATAAATTACTTCACAGAACAGTAAAGGAAACAGCTTAATATTGCTATTTTCCAGGAGTCTGTGCTTTTCAGGAACAGTTAGAGTAGGTGAAATATGACAACCATGGATGGGTCCTTGAAATTTAAATGAGTTTCCATGCAGTTAGAATTTTCATTATAGTGGTCAAAAGAACTTTCAATCTGTGACTCAGCATACATAATGTTCAAGTTCACTCACAGACTTCGATGTGCTGCTACCATCAAGGACATCTGAGTCAGCCTCGCCTCTTTGAGATTTGAGCTTGGAAACGTACTGCATGGCCTGAGGATTTTAGTAATCTTGTTGTTTGTTTTGTTCTAATAACAGTTTAACAACACTTGCAACATAATAAGGTCACATAAGTGCTGAAGATTAAATGTGTAACAAAAGTAACAAACACAAACACAAAAAAAGAAGGTGATACAAGGAGGATAGACGTTTGATACGAAAGAAAGGACATACCACATCAGAGCATCGACCAACCACCCAAAGTCATCTTGTTTATCAAACATGAATTCATACAAGTATCATATATATACCCACCTAAATATACGAGCGAGTCTTTTATAAAATAACGTCCAAAAGTACACTGTTATCAGAAACTGGTTGAGCCGAATCGTTCTAAATTCCAGCTCTTTGGAGAGAAAAATGCAAAATCTAAAGCAAATTTAGAGTTGAAAGTCAACATACAAGAGATCGAAACTAAACAACTACATTTAAAAAATCACTAGTTAAAAAAAAAAGCAATTAGACTATTGCTTAGCAGCAAACCTTCCACTCACCTTTGACCTTTCCATTGGGCTTGAATCATCTCCGTTGTACTGGTAAATCTTCAAGCCACAGTCAAGAATGAACACATCTCCCTCGGTGACCAAAGATGCAGCTCTAGGCAGCTGTAAAAACAGGCAACATTGAAATCAAATACAGTGCTTTTGCAATCAATACAACACTGACACTTTCCCAGTAAAAATTGCTCAATTTTGAGTAGCAAATCAACCATGATCTTATCATAGATTCAAATTCCCTGTTCTCAACGGTTTAAAGTCTATCTAGGGTGTAGTGTCAGTACCCTTTAGGCTATTATCTCATAAGAAACATAGCGAATCATCCACTCTCATTGCTATTTGCTCTCTGTGGTACTTTATGTTTCTTTTTGAACAACTGGCAAAGGACAGTAAAGGACTATGGCAATACTTGTGCATGAAAAAAGTTTATGTGAATCAATGGATCCTTATGGCTACTTGTTTCTTATTTTTCAAAATTAAGTTCTATACATTTTAAAAATTTGTTTAGCCCGAGGAACATGCGATAACAATTTGTGGCAGATCGGATACAAAGACATAGAAAAAAAAAAAAAATTAGGCATATATATAATTATACCCAAATCGACATTTCATAAATAACTAATTTTGAAAAAATAATTGTCAAAGTTACACAAATGGGTAAATGGCACACAACCGTTTACAAAGCAAAGATCAAAAGCAGACAAAAACTAGTTGAATTTGGGCTTCACTTTAAGTTTTCAATAGCCATGGACTAAATTTACTGTAAAATTGGGTCAAGCATAAGACTAATCCCAGTCAGTCATATTGGGCAACAGCATAAGTAGCCCACAACACAGTACCGGTAGACATTTAGAAAAGAAAACACAAATATTTTCCAGAAACAGGACCATGTGAAACCAAAAAAACACACACACAACAATCCATGTATACTTCAAAGTCTAGTTTCCCTCATAGGAACACGTCTGTTCTAGAATTGTTTGGCTTGAGAATACGGAAGTATCAACTAGGAATGACCACTGTACAAGTTATAACAAGAAGTCACTCACCTGTGTGAGAACGATGTGGCTGTGTTTGTCGCGGGCATAACGGAACAGACGTGCTGTGTATTCCTCTGCTGGCACGTGGCGGAAGCCAGAGGCAGCTCCACCTTCCTTCAGGCTGAAAAGGCACAGATGAATGAGTCTTACTATAAATATCACAACTACATGGGAAACGGAATTTATTGTTTGAAAGACATTCATATTAACAATTACGGTACACAAACTCCATAGTTCAATGACGTACCGATCTGCTACATTTATAGAATCTCAGACAAAATGAACCTAAACTATAATCCCCTCAAGTGTCGCCTTGTACAGTGTGACAAAATTATGCTACAAACTAGGCACAAAATAGTGTTTGTTACATTTACCACAACAAGTGGGGTACAAAATCTCCTCATCCCTTTCAAATTGTATATATATGTGCATGTGCGCACACACACAGACTATGCATGCACGCATACACGCTCGCACATTATCCGAAAAGTATTTTTATATTTGCAGAACTTTAACTTTACGTGAAACTCCCAAAAATTATAAGAGTATATCAACTTTTCATACTTTTCATTAAAGAAAGTCGTTACAATTTTAAAAAACAAAATATCGGAGCAAAATCTAACGAAGTAAGAAAGAATGAGATAAAGAGATTTTGATATTACCTCCATTTCCAAGAAATGAATATTACTCTCTACCATATAAAACGCCCAAAAAAAATTGACAATGATATACATTTGAAACTGATGAGAACATGACAAAGCTCATGCAAACACTTTCTCATCCCCTCTATCCAGCAAGCTGCAATAACATGAACAACAATTACAAAGTAATGTCACCGAATCTACTTACGTGATGCCATCTTCAAAGTAAGAGCGGAAGAGAGCACTTTCGTGACCTTGAACTTCGCGATGTTGAATTGGAACATCATCAAGGAAGGTATCCAATTCCACAGTCTTGTAGGCAGCAGTACCATATTCATCCTAAGAATACAGGCAAAAAAGACAGTATGTAACATTTTAAAAATCCACTCACAAGTGCTTGATTTACAAAAACAGTAATTAAAAGCCTCTTTAATAAGATAACAATAATAATGCAAAAAATAAGTACTTTGTAGAATGAAAGAGTGTTTTTATGTTTCATGAGAAGGTCACCACTGGAAGAATGAGTCAGTATAACATACACAAAAAAAGGGCTTTGGTTTTCCTGCAATTGTTACATTGTACTATACAAAACGCAAAGTTCTTGCCATTACCTTCACATCTGATTTTAGGCCAAAATTCCAGTAAAATAAAAACCTTCTCAAACCCCTAGAACGGTAATTGTGTGGTGAAAAGGGAGACAAAGTTTAACCTGTCCAAGATGACCACCCATTGTTGAGGAGAAAAGTAGTCATTTAACCCTTCCAGCCCCATGCACGTATATTTTCAGCAGCACTTGTACCTCCCACCATCCCAAAAGCATATATTCTCTGCCGCGCTCGAGCTGCAGCCTGTCCCAAGAGCGTAGATTTTCAGTTTTGGGAGATACCGAATTTTGCATTTTTTTAAATAGTAGCAAACCTAACTAAACATTGATTTTCATAATCTTTGTTGATTTACCTTTAAACAAAGTTATATGTTATAAAATAAACCTCCTAACAAAGACACTGCATCACTTTTTAGAATGCATGTCTCTTTTTCCGAAATATTGCTGTATTGACTGGGACTGGAGTATGCTGCCTGCTGTATTTACCTGGGACTGAGGTTAGGGAGTGCAGAAAAATGGCTGGGGCTGGAAGGGGTTAACTCTTTGAGCCCTCACCACTGGTACACTGATGGCGTGTAAAATTGCACGTATGCCTCGCCACCCATACAACGGTGAGCGAGACCCTATCCTCAAACCTTCCCACCTGGGACAAAATGCGCACGGAAAACAGTGTTTACTACACAGGACATTACTGATTATTTTGAAGACTTTTCTGAATTAGCTGCTGGTAATGACGAGGACTACCTTGAGTGGGATATGTGGAATATGATTCTGACAATGATATGAAAGAAGGCTTGAATCGTTCAGGAGCTCAGGCAAAAGGGCACAGCAGCCTCAGGAAGTCGTGGCTCAAAAGGTTAAGACAGGTGGTCCTCTTGTATAGAAATACAGTAACACAAGGACAGCTCGAATTCAACGGGATTGGCCTCGGTAGTTCGATGGATTCGTAGTTCGAGGGATATCTTACAAACATAAAGAAAAAAAGAAAAAAAACAGGACCGCAAGCACAGTTCAAGGGATGCCTGATTTTGAGTCTTCTATGTTCGACCTATCTGTGTCATACTGTAATATATAGAAAAAACACAAGGAAGAAAGTGGGATTTCATCACATTTGTACAGGTGATCATCTTGGACAGGTGCTCATTAGAGTAGATTTGACCGTATAATCATTTTTTGTTGTTGTTATTAGCAGTCTTCAGAAAGACTAAAAATTATAAAATATCTCAGAATAGAAAAATTCGGAAAAGCAGGTGAAGAACAAAGAAAAAAATACATAATTCAATCACCTGTGAGCTGTTCTTGCCAATCCAGAAGTGGACATCATGGAGCAAGTTCTCAGTTTCCTCATCCTTGTATGTCTGAAGAAAGAAAATTTTAATTAAAAAGAAATTGAATTTAAACAGAAACCTTTTAAAAAACACGTCCTGAAGAATAACAAATAAATAAGAAGAAGAAAATGTTAAATATTTTTTTTAATAATGAGTTTTACCCACTGTTGTTACCCTTTTATCTCATTCACTCAAGTTCTTTTTTAAGTCAGAGGTTATGATTGACACACAGTTCATAGATGCGTTGTACGTGTTTACCATCCCTTTTCTTTAAAAACTGTGTAAGGTCATTTAGGAAGCAGGCCCTCCGAATTTACCGTCCATCTTTTATAGGACCAAGTTAAGTTGTTGGACAGCTTTAAAAAGTCCCCAAAACAATCATAGTTCAAGAACATCTAGATGCAGGATCGAACAGGGGCAGCCCGTCCGCATTGTAGTTCAGCCTGATAATAACTTAATTGTGCAGCACCCTGGTTTTTTTTTTTTGGGGGGGGGGGGGGGGGTTCGGGACAACCCTAGCTAAAAAAAACAGGGTGCTGCAGAGTGGCAACCAGCAATGGCATAGTTGTGAAATTGTTCTGTATTGGTGTAATATTGTGTATTTATGTATGATATGTGTATGCCTCTATGTATGTATTTTCATAATTATGTATTTATGTATGAACATATGTTTGCCATTATAAACCAAGTTGCCCTTCTGGGGGGAAAAAAAATGTTATTTATTTATTTTTACTTCATTGTCAAAGGCGACTTCCATGTTATATCCACCCCTGACAGAGTGAACCAAAGCATCAACAAAAATAGAAGGCAAATGAGAATATGGGCAGACCAACTGCAACCTACTTCTACTTGGAAAACCTTAACACTAACAGTTGGGTGACGATGGACAGACCAGGATAGAGAAGGTTTTTTGAAGGGGCATTTGAGTTGAGAAATGAATTGCGAACCACGGTTGCTACTGTCGGTTTCAGACCTGGCACTTTATGATTATGATCAATAACAAGTTGGGTGTTCCTGATGTTTTTGCCGTCCTTCCGAGAGCTTGTGAGATTTTTGCTCTTCTGCTCTGTGTCAGGGAGTAAAATACTGGTACAAAAACAACCCAGTACAAAGCATGATGAAACCTAAGCAGCTACTTCATTCTCTAAAATACCAGGGAAACAGCTCCATACTTACGTTCAAAATGATGTAGGAATCTCCATTGTAGAATTCACCATAGTCATCCTCGGGCCATTCTGTAACTTTAAAGTCCTTTGAAAAACAAAACAGACATCTTAGTCTATCACAGACCAGCACAGATAATAGTAGTTTATACAAATACAAATGAAATAGTGATGATTGCTCTGTCATACAAAATACCATACAACTCTCTATTCTCAGAACTCCCCCCCCCCCCCCCCAAGCACCTGTATTTTTTGTTATGAAATTAAAACAGCACCTTTATTTTTGTTACAAAATACTTTGAACTAAAAACCTAAAAAATGTAGTATTGTCCAGAGATACATCCAGCAAATTTTCTGTGAAACTGTGCCCAAGCGAGACACTGACATATCTGCCAGCTGTTTCTGGTACGTACAGCATTAGATCTAGTCCTTTAAAAGGAAGGGGAGGGGTGAGGAGCAGAGGATTAAGGGAGGCGGGGGAGGAGCGGAGGACGAAGGGGAGGTAGAGAAAGCTTGACCATCATAGCATAAAGCACATAGCCGCAATCAATCTCTGCTTCTCAAAAGTTCTATTTAATGCAATACTATTGGCATGTTTCGATTAGAAAAAATAACTACAGGTCAGATTCAGTGTTTCATTTACATGTACAGGAACTATGTAATCTGACTATTGCTGACACTTCAAAATCTCCATGGAGGCTTACCACAATGCGCCAGATTTTCAGGCCAGGCTCAGCTCCAGCACCCTGCCAGGCTGGCTCCTGCTCAGCAGACTCCTCTGTTTGCAGAAAAAAAAGAAAGAGAGAAACATTTTTACCGCTTAGTTTTTTTTTTGGTCTCAGTGAAAGTGCAACTAACTAGAGATAATATGATTTATATTATAAAGTATTATTATAAAGAATTCCACATACTGCGGTCACACTTTTAAGAATGAGAAGAAACCTGGGTATTCACAGAAATGACATACATCCGCAAAGAGTATTCAATATTTTTGTATATTATCATGTACCTGCAGGTAGGAAGCAAGCAGAAAATGCAGTTCACTTTAACCACAAAGATAGCTTTAACTGTGTGGTTTTTTTAAAAAAACAACCTATTTTATCACAGCATATTAAATAGAGTAAATGGACACACAATATAAGAATGGAACTTACTCTTCACTTCTTTCTCTGTGTCAGAGCCAAAAAGGGCCAAGTTGCTGTCCTTCCAGTCATACTTCTTAGCTTTAACAAGACCTGAAAGTAAAAGTTGTTTGCAATTCTTAAAAACGAGTTATTCACAATTTGAGATAAAAGAAAAGCATTTTTTTAAACAACAATCATTTGGTGCCAGCAAAAAAGGCAGAGCAAAATACAGAAACAACATAGAGAGAGAGAGAGAGAGAGAGAGA